ATGTTTCTCTAGTGTTGTGTACCCTAACGATTAACGATTCACTTTGTAGGCTTTTCTGAAGAAAATTGTAAACATTTGAGCGGCTATAGTAGAGTTCGGGTTACATATTATGAAACATAGTTTTTGTGGATTATTATTATTGTAATAAGACTAGCACTGAATACAGTTAATACTGGTGGCTGGAACATGATTCAAATGTGAATTAGGTGTACGAGATATATTGGTTTAATTTTTGCGAGGAAAAGAGTAGCCCAAGAGTTGGCGGTGAGTGGTGATGACTAGCTGCCTTCCCTCTAGGAACTGCTAGCGCAGATAGCCCTCGTGTAGCTTTGCGCGAAATTCAAAAACAAACAAACAATATGCGAGGATTTTCCTTGAAATGACCGGACTTTCAAGTAGTATATTGAACGCCCCAGCTGGTAAATCATGATCCTTTAATTAGTTTAGTAAAGACTGGAGAACAGGTTGGCCCTGTAACAGAGCTCTTGACGTCGAAGATGACGAGCCGGGCTCAAATCCTTGCTATACCACAAATTGTTTTCTACATTTTAAGCCGTGTTATAAGATAAACAACTGATCCCTTAGCGTAGATGGTGGGTAAAGCATTTCTTACTGGCTGCCTTCCATCTGGTCAGTAGTTCAAAATCAGGGAAGGTAGAAGATAGTCTTAGTAGCTTTGCCATAAATACTGACGTAACAACATGTAGTATATTCTAAGATAGCTTTACTTTCTTTGTTTGTTGTTAATTGCAAAGCTATCTGTGCTGTGCCCACCACTTGTATCGAAACCCGTTTTTGAAGATGTAAGCCACTGAGCCACCAGGGTAGGGGGAGAAGGCCATTAGACTGGTATAAAAGGGAGAAGGCCATTAGACTGGTATAAGGGGGAGAAGGCCATTAGATTGGTATAAAACTGTTTGTGATCCACTAGATACAGATGTAATTGTCTTTTGTCGTGCAGCTAATTCTTCTATCCAGATAATGGCAAAAAAAAAAATGCATTGTTTGCTCGGACAGGTGACAAAATTACTGATCCAAAAACATTCAGACAAAATTCAAGGAAAAATCATGACGCTAAGCGTGCATTTTAAAATAAAGTAGTTAATCACGCAACCCTTTGTTAAATAATAATAATAAAAGATCTAAAGGTCAGTTAAGAGGAAATGGTAGTCATATTTAAGAAAAGATAGAAAAAGAAGAAGAACGATTCTTTACTAAGTAACAGCATAAGTTCAGCGGAAAAACTTTGAAGTTGTATGTAATAGCACTACCCCCCCCCCCAAAAAAAATAAACAAGGAAAAAACATACGAAGTTTTGATATATTGGATGCATTCAACGTGCTACAGTTTTTGTTTTTGTATGATTTGAAAAGTTTGATAAAACTTGATTACACTTCTAAACGATAAATTAAAAATAAAATTATGCAAAATAAAAACTAGAATGTTTGTGAAATTATTTAAGTTCAATAAAGGTTGGTTAAATACTTTAGTGTATTTTAAACTCGAAATCTCTTCCCTATCGGGTAAAAATTTACCACTTGATTCTCTCCCCCATTTTTTATCCAAAGATGCTGGTTACTCCAAAACAGATACACTCTATGATTCAAGTTTTTCTCTAAAAATATTTGCTTGTTGGCACATCTTCTGCTTTAGGCTTAGTTTATTAACTCAAAAAAAGAAGAAAAAAACACTCGTGTTAATGAGCAAAGCTTAGTGTGCAAAACACTGTCACTGGAAATTTCGTAATTATAGTAATAATAAGACACAGTAATCAGGATATTAAATCCAAGTAAAACATCCAAAATTGGTACAGTTTGTTTCTATTTTTCAAAGTGTTGAAAAGATTTAACACAGCTCCGCCTATAAGATTACTATCAATGATGCCAAGAAACGTACAGTGTTTGAAACGCTGCCAAGTCTGAAATGATGACAAACTTATTGGAATCAGAGCATGTATTCTTGTATGTGTAAGAAATATGACAAAACACTTCGTCTTTGCTGGTTCTCTTCCTTGAATTGTTGTGTCTTTATAGAGACGTGAAACAGCATGAATCAGTTTGAATTTGATAAAGTTAAAAAGGGTTTTATTTTCAATTGGCGTTTTGTTGTAATTTGTTAACGAATTTATATATAAAAAAAAGTTAACTTTCTGAGAAACATTGGTTACTAATCGATTTAAGGTATCTCTGAGAAGCTTGTTTTCCAGGAACGAGCCGGCAAAAATTAGGAAAAAAACTTTTAAATGTTTTTGTTTCTTTTCAAACAAAATCGTACTTGAAGAGTTCTAATTATTCTTGGAATGCTAAACATTAAATGTATATTTACAATCTATTCTAGTTCTTAAAAATAACGAAAGATGACGCTAGGATATTGCGCTGCACATAATATTACTTTACAGATCGAGTTCAGATCTTCCTTCCCCGTTTTTTTATTAAAACTTTCAAACTCCATTATATCCTTACCTATCATCAGGATAATAAGCCGGAGGCTGGGCGTTGAACACGCTCCACACTTATCGTTGTGAGGGCGCTATAACCATGATAGTCAATCCCATTAATCGGGTAAATTTATTTGTTCGTTTGTTTTAGAGCCACATCGGGGCATTTGCTGTGTCAACCGCAGGGGGATCGAGCCCTGGATGTTTAGCGTTGTAAATCCGTATTCTTACCACTGTCACACCGGGAGACAATTCGTTTTAAGATTAGCCGTTTAGGTGGTTGATTCTGCAGGTTGGTTTCTCTTTCTCTGGTAAGCAATTCAAAATTAGAGGTAGCACTGTCTGAACCTTGGGGTCATTTGAGCTAGCTTTTTAGCCCATGTGTCACATAACGAGTCAGTGCAATTATAATTGGCATTTATTTATATTTCTTCAGCTAATTTGCTTTCTCAGTGTACTCGTTTTTTCACTGAAGATTCACTAAACATACTTTACTGCCGTGTGCAGGTTTAGTGCCTGTTTTTGTTCTTTAACGCCTTTATCTGTCCTTTCACATTTGTTTTCAACATTCAATCTCATTGTCATCTTTCAATAGGGTCGGGCGTGGCTTAGTGGTTAACACATCGAACTGCAGATTAAAGGGTCCGGGGTTCAAGACGTGCTGCTATTAAATGCTCTGCTCTTTCTGCTATTGGCTCTTTATAAACATGATAGTCACATTGTTATTCGGTTTACGGCTGCGTATAAAGCACGTGTGGCTCGAGTGCGTCTGGCTTCCTTCCCTCTAACTACGTAGTTCAAGGGTAGGGACGGACTTGCCTAGATCATCAGTGGTTTAGGAAGGAGTTTTGGAATGGGGTGATTGGCCAGACATGCAGATTTTACATGCAGAGATTGAAAGTATAAGGAGCTGCCGTGTTGCCAAAAGACAGCTCAATCTATTATAATTTACAGTTGCTATATAAGTCAAATATGTAAAAATGAGGGTGCTACAATGCAACGCCTCTGATCATGCGGGTCTCTAACTTCGCCGCTCAGCTCAGGTTGAACAGCGACATTATAGAACTGTGTTAGCCACCCGAGGTAGACACACGGTCAGGGTGATATATTTGAACCATGGCGTTGTTTTTGTTTGTTTGTTGACTTTCGCGCAAAGCTACTGGAGGGCTATATGTGCCAGCTGTCCCTAATTTTAAAAGTATAGGCTAGAGAGAAGACAAGCTAGTCAACGCCATCTACCGCAAGGTCTTGGGATACTCTTTTATCGACGACTAAGAAGACAATGAATTTCACATTTTGTTGTTTGAGGTTATAATTTATTACTTACGATTGTTAGTTTGAGACTATAATTTACTACTTACGATTGTTAGTTTGAGGTTATAATTTACTACTTACGAGGTATTTGCTAGTAATTTGTTGCTTTCAAATTTATTTTTTTCCAGCATCTATAATCTTATATCGCTTTTATATGTTTTGTCTTTTGAAAAGTTATTTAAGTCAACATATGTCTAAATAAAGCCAAGAAAGAGTTTTAAATGACGCTGTTTGTAAAGAATAATTTCACATTTTATATTGGGTTGGGTGTAACTTAGTGGTTAGCATGCCGGGCCGTAAACATTCGTGGTTCACGACACATTTCACGTGAACGCAAAACGCACTTTTAAATGTGGGCTCGTTATAAGCGTGACAATAAATTCCGTCACTCGTTCAATGCTGGACAAACTCCTCTGTGATGGCAGGTGTTGCCGATTGACTGCCTTCCCTCTGGTAAGTAGTTCAAAAAGTAGGGATGGCTATATTTGAACACCAGACATAGGTGTCTTTGACCTGACAGCTTAGCCTATGTATTTAAAAGATGTTGTTCTGGTTGAAAATATTAACACCATTTGAAACTTTCAAACTGTCTCATTGTCAACTCTCTCAACTACGGATGTTTAACTTCATGTAGCACTTATTGCATTAACGTAATAAATCTCAATTCCATATCAAATTCACGGCTTTAAGCATATTTCTTAGCTGTAACGTTTCGAAACAGCTTTTGGTAGGATCGTAATTTTTTTGGGGTACAACGTTTCGGCCCTAACTGTAACATGATCACGTACGACAATTAAAATACAAAGAAAAAAGTTTCAAACACTACATATGTTAAATAATTAAGTCGATACCTCTTAAAAAAGAAAATATTTTATAGTTGTTTTTTTAATGGGTTTTTGTCATTTCAGTTTCTGTTCATTTACATTTAACAGTAGAAAACCACCTGTTTTATTACTATACCTTTTCAAGTTCCTAATCTTGTTTGTTTTAACACAAAGCTGTACGATGAGGTATCCGCATTCTGTCCATCGCGGAGATCTAACTGCGGATGTTAGCGTTGTAAGGCCACAAACGTACAGCGTGTGGGAGGATTTTTCGTGAAAGAAATTATAATGATTTAACATGATTTACAGATGTTTAAATTGCCACCTTCCATGTTTTATTACAAACTAGTTAAATATGAATAAATTACTGGTTCACACCTGTTATATCTACTGGAAACCGACACATACCAAGCTGTAACTATCAAGAAGTAGATACATTAAATCTAGTGAATATAGATAATTGTATGTGCGTGTGACAAGAATATTAAGACCTCCAGCAAGGACTTTTGACGAATGCAGAGGAACACGTGGGCACATGGGCTAGGGTGGGAAAAACCGCCTTTCCCACCTCTGTTTTCGTTTCTCATTCGTCCGATGACTGCTGAGGTGGTGGCTTTCTGGTCTTCGGTGGGTTTAAACTGGGCCGTAAAGTAGTCGCGAGCTCTGTTGTTAAGTGCACCGACACGAAGAAGCTCGAGTGACCCGTAACAAGAGTGTCGCGTATGTTACCGAGACTCTCCATATGCAGCTCGAGAAATGACTAAGAGATGCGTCCGTCCGGCTCAAGCTCTGCTGTTGCTGTGCTGCGTAACTATGCTCGTGAAGACTCAGCCGTTGTCTGTGGAAACCGATGATCTTCCGGTTCGTGAGCCGCGAAACAAAGACGATCTAGACTACATCGAGCTCGAGGAGGAAATAGAACGCATTAAGCAGCACATTCTCTCTGAGCTTGGAATGGAAAGCGCGCCGGATTCTTCGCAAGTGAATGTCACCCAGAGTGAGCTGGACAGGGTGATGGAGATCTATCATCGGAACACAAGAAACTCAATCATTCAGGAAGCGCTAGAAGAAGATAAAGACAATGTTGTTCACAAATCTTATACTTTCAGGGATGAAGGTAAGAATGAATAAATTGTCTTATTAGTAGCAGGCGCTTCTATAATACGGTTCAAATATCACCTTAGTGATATTTGAACCGTATTATAGAAGCGCCTGCTACTAATAAGACAACTTAGTAATATTTGAACCGTATTATAGAAGCGTCTGCTACTAATAAGACAACTTAGTAATATTTGAACCGTATTATAGAAGCGTCTGCTACTAATAAGACAACTTAGTA